TGGCTTAAGGCGAAGAGGAATTGCCTGGGGGTCCACAGAGAAGGAGATGGGGGTGCCAGAATAACAGCCCAGCTCGCTGCTAAAAACATCAGAGTAATCTGAGAATAGGGCGTCTACGTCAGAAGTTGAGACAGCATGGATCCCAGTTACACTAAGGCCGAGGGAGGGGAACCAATCTAGCCCCAACAGACTGGGGAGGGCACCATTAACAACCACCAAAGGCAGATGGCCTTTAAAGGCTTGGAAATGAACTAAAAACTTGCCTTTCCCGAGGACAGGGATGTTCTTGCCCTGGTAGTCCCGCAGTGTCAGGTGGCATCTCTGCAGCTTCTTCTTCAAAAATCTGGGATGAATCTTCTTTAGGGTTTCCCAGGAGATGATTGAAAGTGCAGATCCCATGTCTACCTCCATCCTGCAGGGCTTACCTTCTAAAGAAACAGAAATACTGATTTTATTAGGCGTTAGGGAAGTTTGGTTAGCGTGGTAGCAGGTATAGCAGTCCTCCACTTGCCTTTGGAGATTAGTAGGTGGTGGAGATCTTTGTGGAAAAGTTCGCCCTGCTTGGCAGATTCTAGCGAGGTGGCCTTTCTTTTGACAATTCAGACAGATGGCATTCTTAAACCTGCAGGATGCCCTAGAGTGGGAGCCCCCGCAAGTTAGGCAAATGGGAGGTTGCTTGGGGGCGAAGTTGTTTCTCTGCCCTGCTCCTACCTGTGCAGGCTTTTGTTGCTTAAGGCGGTTAACGTCTGTTGAGTCTGTGGGGTCTTCTTCAAGGGAAACTTCCTCTGAATGAATAGAGGAACTGCTGGGTTTTACAGGAGTTCCTTGAATTTCAGCTGCTGATTGGGCAGAGAGCTCAGCAGCTTGGGCTTCCTCCACGGCTAAGGCTAGGTTTAAGTCCTTTTTTGCTAGCAAACGCCTTTGAAGCCTAAGGTCTCTAACCCCACAGACGATCTGGTCTAATAACATGTCTTCTAGGTAGTCTCTGAAACCACACTGTAAGGCAGCTGTCCTCAGCGCTGCCACATACTTATTAATTGACTCTCCCTCAGCCTGTTTTCTGGTTCGGAAAGCATATCTCCTGGGTATCTGGGATGGCTTAGGTGAGTAGTGGTTGGAGAGGATCTCTTGGAGTTCATCCCACAGAATGCTCCTGATAGCGCGAGGGGCGACCAGTGCTGTAGCGGTGTCAAAAACCGCAGCCCCACAGTAGCTGAGGAAGTAGGATTTTTTCCTGTGCTCAGCAGCATCTGCTAAACCGATGGCATCGAGGAAGTAGCTGAAACGGTTTTTGTATGAGTCCCACGTTTCCTCGGCTGGCTTGAATGGTGGGAATGTCGGATTGGCATTCATTTTGGAAATTGCAGGGCTCGTCCCTTCAGTCTTGATTCAAAATTCGTGCTCTTAGAAGAGCGCTTGCGGCTGCGCTTATCAGGCGGTGTCTGTCTCTCCGGCTACGGAGGCTTTTGAATTTTCGCACCCTTTGTGAGCGCCGGCGGCTGCGGCTTCAGCGCCCGTGACTTGCTCTAGTGACTACAGCTCAAAACCCGGAGGCTTTTGAATTTCGCGCTCTTTGTGAGCATCGGCTCTTCGGAATCGCACTACTGGTAGCCTCTGATCGCATCCCGCCCTCGTCGCCAGTGTTGTAGAGCGGCGGAGGAACGAGGCTGAACCAGAGTGAGACGTAAAAGGCTTTATTGCAAAGAATAAAGGGTTGCCGCGTCTGCCTTCTCGCTAGGCAGGCTAGCTGGCGGCAACGGGGCTGGCACTGCTCGACAGCCGCCTTTTATAGCCGGCTGTCAAACGGTGCCAGCCAATAGGAGTGGCTGGTTCCCCCCCTCAAACAGCGGACCTGGTTGGGAACTCCAACCAGTCCCAAAGACATAACAGAGGGCTTCTTTGGCACTGAAGCAGAAAGGAACATAGCCCATCTCTAGTGATCTATTGAGGATTCGGGTGAAGATGGGGGCCAATTGGTCAGCAAAGACTTTTAAGCAAGAAGGAATTATCTTGTCTGGCTCTGGTGCTTTTCCTGGCTTTTGCCTGTGAAATAGATCTTGCACTTCTTTTTCTGTGGTCAGCAGAGGTTGTGAATCCAATGGGTTGGGGTCAGTTGTGGGAGGCTTGGCTGTTCTTGGTGTGTTTGAGATGATGGTTGTGGAGATAGGTGGCTGTAGTTTCCTTCCAAAACCTGCAGTAAAATACATTCAGGACATCTGCTAGTTGTTGATTTCCTTCTGCCTGAGAAGGAGGTTTGCTGTAGCCGGTGATGTTTTTTTTTAATAAAAAATTAATTAATTTTCAATAAACAAACATACACAAACAAAACACAAAACATAAAAACATAAAACTTCTTTTTGGAAAGCGGCTTAGTCCCGCGTTACATCTTTTTATACAGACATAAATTTGAATTCATGCTCACTCTTATATACCATTTCATATCTTATTTACCATTCTACATTTTCTATATAGCTTCTCTTCTCTTTTCACTCTCTTAATTCTATTTTATTTATTTCATCTCAATTTAAATCATTATGCTTATATCTTTTGTCTGTTCTGTTTCAGTTATCTATTATCTTTTCTCATTAACATAAAATTTCTCCTGTAATCACTGATTGAAGTATGACGCCTTTATATCTTTCCCCTAAATATAACACTTAAAATAGGATATAATTTTCATTCGGATTCTGCTTTGTACATTCTAAAGCTACATACTATATTTTAAAATAAGGAAAAATAATAAGTTTATATTATAATTGAAACAATAATCCATAACAATTAAACTCTATCCTTAAGTCTTAAACATTTTACACATTCCTTTTGAGATTTTATCCCATTTTATAATCATATAATGTTCCAGTTTTCTAACATTATTTCAAATACAAATACTACAATACAGTCTTATGTACTTTTGCAGAATCTCTTTTTTAATTATATTTTTACCCATTATCTCTGAAAAAATCCTGTTTCTTTACATCTTTTTTCAAACCTTTGTAGCTTCTCTTCCCTTTTTCCCTTCCTTGCTTCTCCAATCTAGCCTTTTTACCCCCTTGTCTCTTGATCTCCACCCTCTTCTGTATTCCTCTTTTCTGTTGCTTTCTGACATTGTATTAATTTTTCACCTTATTTTTCCCTTTTTTGGTTGTTTTTTTAAGTCTTAGATTTTCTATTCTCTTTCCCCCCTTTCCCTTTTCTTCCCCAGCTAGAGTTGCTTGTTCGTTAAAGATGGCTTCTTCTTCATCCCAATCTTCTTGTTGTTCTTGTAGTTTCTCATAAGTAGAAATCGCCATTTCTAAGAAATGGAAAACAGAGCCAAAAGAGCCCTTCCGTTCTTGTTCCTCTTCTTTATACTTTTTGAATTCCATTTTCAGTTCATCGACAAGTAATGCCATTGCGGATTCCTGCTGCCGTCGAAGCCCTGCAAACCAGAAGTCTAGCCGGTGATGTTTTTAAGCGTTTTCCCCATGTTTGCTGGTTCATTTGTTGAGCACTGATTCCTTAACTTTTCAGCAATTGCTTTTTTTTTAAATAAAGTTTTATTGAGTTGTAACAAAACAAATAAAACATCTTATTTGAGTACAGCATAGTTCCGGGTTATCACATTTCCATACAGACACAATTTCATATGCATATTTATCTTATGTATTCAACTTCATATCTTATTACTCTTTTTCCAACTTCTCACTATTTCTCCCTTTACTTCTCTTAATTTTCTTTTATGGTTATCTCATTTTCTTCTTATTCAATTGTATTTCTTTTACCTAAATTTCTATATCTTTTTATTCATTGTACTTATACTTTTGTCTGTCTTGTTTACAATTTCATATGTTCTCTTCCAACATTCTTAAGAAGCAAAATTCCCCCTATGATTGCCAATCGAAGTGCAACACCTTTAAATCTTATTGTTATTATCATACAAAATCTCATTAAACACTGAATTTGTGCATTCTAAAATTATAACATTCAAATTTCTAATATCTATTTTATATCATGTAAATCTCATCATTCAGACTCTGCTTGGTGCTTCCCCTTGAAAATGTAAAAAGAAAAATTCTAAAAACATAGCAAAAACTATATATATATAACATTAGTAAACAAAATAGTTATTCAAAATCATTCTAGTACTGGTATGAACCTTGTAAATCTTTCATGTTTCTTTTCAATATCTATCAATCTTTGAGAACAATTGAAATGTTTCCCTCCCTTCATTATTACTTAACTGTTAATAAGCATACCATTGGATAGTGATACAGTTTTATCTTATAAATTATTTACTATCAATAAGCAAAATAATTATTCAAATTTATTCTAATAACTGGTATAAATTCCCTTATAAATCTTTCACATTTCTTTTCAATATTTTATCAATCTTTAGAAACAATTGCAATGTTTCCCTCTCTTCTTTATTATTGCATTAATTATAAATAAACATACCATTACATAACAATACAGTTTTATCTCATAGATTATTTACTTATTTCATTTCTAATTCATTACAGTATTCTACTGTCACAACACTATCTTTTGTACCTTTGCAGAATCCTCACTTTTAACTTAATTTAACCATTGTCCCTGTGTTTTCTAGCTGAGCAAATACCTTTAATCCTAGTACGTTTCCCCTTTTTCTTTATTTCCTGTTTTTGTCCCGCATAAGGTCTTTCCCTTTCTATCTTTCCCCCCTTTTTCCCCTTATTGCCACACTTTGCATTATTTGATCATTGATAATGGCTTCTTCTTTGTCCCAGCCTTCCTCTTGCTTTTGAAGCTTTTCCTTTTGCTTTTCATAGTTCAGGATCTCCATTTCAAAAAACTCAAATACGAAGCCAAAGAATCTTCCTCCCCTTTCTGCATCTTCTTTCTGTTTTTTAAGACTCACCTTCAATTCCTCCAGGAGTGATGGCATTTTAAACAAGCACCTGATTGACTTTAAGTAAAAACAGAAAAAGAAAGAAAAAACCAATGCCAAAAGCTTTTTGTTTCTTTCCTTTACTTTTCCCTTGTTCTTAAAGATGGCTCATGACAGCCCTCTGGATTTATCTGGAGGTGCTGTCGGTGGCAATATACGTACCGCATTGTAAGGCGGCAAACCTTCTTCGGGGGGTGATAGGAGCGGTTGTTCATGCGTAGCTAATGCATCCATAACCACCCTCCAGGTTAACAAAATTGAAGAAGGGGCACGAGGCTCCTCGTGCAAAAATTTCCCTATCTTTCTCCAGCGCTCTACTTTAATACTACCTCCCTCTGGATAACACGGAATATGTTTCCAAACATACTGTAATAAATCCTCAATTTCTTTCTTTCCTACTTCATGTCCTCTACTATGAACTCCAAACTTAAAACTATTCCCAGCGATCTCTCTCATTTCTCTAAGGTGCTTTGTCTGAGCTTTCGAGAGAACTTCCCCCATACTCACGAAAAGAATCTGTCTCCGTCCAGCGAAGAAGATGAGGGCCCAGTCGACGTCCGCGACGATGAGTATAGGATGCGGGAAACGTATAGCTTTCAAGCTATCACGCCAAAACGTATAGCCTTCCAAACTATCACGTCGGGGTCACCACTTGTGATGGACTGGCAATTGAAAAATGATGGGAGACGCAGGGAAGACGTCTGAGCAACTGCCAGCCCCGAGAGCCCCCGGGTAGCAGTATTTATTAAGAAAATGCAAATACAAAATCAAAACAATGACTTCAACATTAGCTCAGCAACATTATCTAGCTAGGCCTCAGCGAAGGTGATAAAGTTCCCGTGAGAAAGCAGGGCACCAAAGGTCTCATGGGAATGGCTCGGATAGGTACTGTGAACTCCCACACAGATTCCTGGCCTCTGAGCTTAGCAGACCATAACAGGATCAAACTCTCATCATAAAGACACTACTGCCCTCATGAGGAGCGTTTGTGATACCCCCAGATCTTACAAAGCTGTACAAGAACTTGCAGAATATGATGGATATATTACCACAGGCTCAGAAAATCCTTTGGAGCCAGGCTGGTCCTATGATTGGAAAGTCTTCTGCCAATCCAAGAGATCCTGGGGAAGTCTGGGAACAGGCCAAGCAGAACATTCTGGAAGAAGAAGCCGGTTGGGTTGCACAACATCGCCACATCCGTGAGGTCTGCTACCAAGAAGCTGAAGGGCCTCGAGACATTTGCAGCCGTCTCTACCATCTGTACCGTCAGTGGCTCAAGCCAGAAATACACACCAAAGCCCAGATGCTGGACTTGGTGATCCTGGAGCAGTTCCTGACTATCCTTCCCCCGGAAGTGGAAAACTGGGTGCGGGAGTGTGGAGCGGAGACCAGTTCCCAGGCAGTGGCCCTTGCAGAAGGCTTTCTTCTCAGCCAGGCCGAGGAGAAGAGGCTGGAAGAGCTGCAGGTGGGAAAATGTCTTCTTGCTGGTTCAAAGAGAGGGATGTTCAAATCTGCAATGTTCTTGTTCCTAAATGACTCCTTTTGCGGGCTATGAAAGGAAGAGATTTCAGTTCTCTCAGCTCGGTTTTCTTCTTGCAGACGTTTCATTACCCAAATTAGATAGCATCATCACTGCCAGGACTAGCACTGATGATGTTGGCCAGTTTGTGTGATAAAACATCTGCAAAAAGACAACTGAGCTCAGAGAGCAGAGAGCACCAAGGACCCCATAGTCGGCGTCCTCCTCCTCCTCCTCCTCCTCCTCCTCCTCCTCCTCCTCCTCCTCCTCCTCCTCCTCGCAACCCCCATCTCCCTTCTAGCACTCTAGAATAGAATAGAATGGAATGGAATGGAACGGAACAACAGAACAGAAGAGAATGGGATGCCACTTACCTGACTACGGAGATGACTTCGGACAATGCTGGCTCTTCGGCTTTGTAACGGAGATGAGCGCCGCCCCCTAGAGCTGGAAACGACTAGCACATATGTGCGAGGGGAACCTTTACCTTTACCTAAAAGCTCAGGCCTTCTTCCCAGGATGGTATTATAAAGATTAAGGCAGAGGTCGGTTACCAATTGTTCCTTTTTTTCCCCATTGCTGTCACTACTTCCTAGCTATTTCCAAGGATGTACGCTCAGGCCTTCTTCCCAGGGTGTGTTATAAAGTTTGAGGCTGAGGTCAGTTTCCAATTTTCTCTTTCTCTCTGTTGCTGTTGTTTCGTGTTCAGGAACCCTTCATGAAGACGTTTGCTGGACCCACTAAAATACGGGGAGATACGCCATATCGTTCCCAGCATTTGGCCTTACGAGGCAGATTCCAGGAGAATACAGAACCAGGTAAGGAATTTGTCTGCTGAAGTCCTTAGGAGTTTGCACTGTCCGAGCTACTTTCATTTTCAATTGTTTTGTGGGGGGGGAAAATCTGAATGCGGTGAAGAGTTCTCACGGGTTCTCAGCTGCTAAAAATGTACGCATTTTAAGGGTGCTTTCTCCATTTTTTGTCTTACTCACAGAGAGTGGAATGACACCGATAGTCCCTGTGGAAACATCTCTCCTTTCTGGGGTTCCAGAAATCACAACTGTGCTTCCAACTCAGGTATGAGGACGATGCTCCATAGCACAAATCTGAGCTTTTGTATTCCATCAAAAATTAATCGTATTTCCAATAAAGGAGAATATTTATATGTCTATGAAGATTTCTCAGTCATCCAGGTCGTGGCTGTCCCAAAGGTGCTTTTTTCAAGAGGCAACTGGACTTCCTGGTTTTTCTTTGAAGATGTTTCGCTTCTCGTCCCAGGAGCTTCTTCAACTCTGCAAGGTTCTTGGATGAGAAGCAAAACGTCATCAAATAAAAACCAGAAAGTCCAGTGGCCTCTTGAAAAAAGCACCTTTGGGATAATATTATAATAACCTTCCTCCAGCTGCAGGCATCTTATCTGTTCCCATGGGAAAGAATGCCACCTATACATAACATTTCCCCTTTATCTCTATAACTCCCCACTTTCAACAGCTAGAGAGTGATGAGCCTGAAATACTGTTAAATCCCTTTGCAGAAAGTCTAGTGAAAGCTAAGAAAAGAATAGACAAAAGCTACAAAAAAACGATGGCTACACATAATGCCATCTTCAGAGTCGACAAGCACCACATGGGCCAAATCCGACCTGGGGGCCTTGAATTTGACACCCCTGTTCTAGAAGGACTGAAATCACAGCCAAGCGATCCAGGGTGATAATGTCATTGTTGGCATTCATTTTTTCTGTCAAATCAATAAATGTGATAGAATATTCCTCAAAGCTCAACCTGCCCAAGGGGCTGCTGATCCAGTTCTACAGAGGAATTATTGAGTCTGTCATCTGCACCTCTATAGCTGTCTGGTTTGATTCTGCAACCCAACAGGGCAGACACAAACTTCAGAGATTAATTAAGACTGCGGACAAAATAATTGCTACCAACCTACCTTCCATCGAGGACCTGTATCCTGTACCAGTCAAAAAGAGGGCTGTGAAAATATTTACAGACCCCTCACATTCTGGACATAAACTGTTTCAATTCCTAACCCTAACCTTTAACCCTATGACTATTATTAAGTGCTGTACCTGATAATTCTTGACTAATGTTCTTTTATGTACATTGAGAGCATTCCTTGTGTGTCCAATAAGACTTGGCCAACAAAAGAATTCTACTCTATTCAACTTTTCTGTGAATTATCATTCAGACATTTGAAACTCTTCTTGTTTTCATACATATAGGTGAAACTCGAAAATTTAGAATATCGTGCAAAAGTTCATTTATTTCAGTAATACAACTTAAAAGGTGAACCTAATATATGAGATAGACTCATTACTTGCAAAGCAAGATAGTTCAAGCCATGGTGTGCCATAATTGAGATGATTGTGGCTTAAAGCTCATGAAAACCCCAAATCCACAATCTCAGAAAATTAGAAGATTACATGCAATCAATAAAACAAGGATTGTACATAGAACAATATCGGACCTCTGAAAAGTATAAGCATGCATATGTACTTGGTTTGGGCCCCTTTTGCAGCAATTACTGCCTCAATGTGGCGTGGCGTGGAAGCTATCAGCCTGTGGCACTGCTGAGGTGTTATGGAAGATCAGGATGCTTCAATAGCGGCCTTCAGTTTTTCTGCATTGTTCGGTCTCATGTCTCTCATCTTTCTCTTGGCAATGCCCCATAGGTTATGGGGTTCAGGTCAGGTGAGTTTGCTGGCCAATCAAGCACAGTAACCCCACGGTCATTGAACCAGGTTTTGGTGCTTTTGGCAGTGTGGACAGGTGCCAAGTCCTGCTGTAAAATGAAGTCAGCATCTCCATAAAGCTCATCTGCAGAAGGAAGCATGAAGTGCTCCAAAATCTCCTCGTAGATGCTGCATTACCCTGGATGTAATGAAGCACAGTGGACCAACACCAGCAGATGACATGGCTCCCCAAATCAACACAGACTGTGGAAACTTCACATTGGACTTCAAGCATCTTGCAGTGTGTGCCTCTCCATTCTTCCTCCAGACTCTTGGTCCTTGGTTTCCAAATGAGATGCAAAAGTTGCTCTTACCAGAAAAGAGGACTTTGGACCACTGAGCAACAGACCAGTTCTGTTTGTCATTAGACCAGGTAAGATGCTTCTGACGTTGTTGTTCAGGAGTAGCTTGACAAGAGGAATATAACATTTGAAGCCCATGTCCAGGATCCGTCTGTGTGTGGTGGCTCTTGATGCACTGACTCCAGCCTCAGCCTACTCCTTGTGAAAGTCCCCAACACTTTTGAATGGCCTTTTCCTGACAATCCTCTCCAGGCTGCGGTCATCCCTGCTACTTGTGCACCTTTTTCTTCCACACTTTTCCCTTCCACATAACTTTCTATTAATGTGCTTTGATACAGCACTTTGGGAACATCCAACTTCTTTTGCAATTACCTTTTGAGGCTTTCCCTCCTTATGGAGGGTGTCAATGATGGTTTTCTGCACAACTGTCAGGTCAGCAGTCTTTCCCATGATTGTGATTCCTACTGAACCAGACTGAGAGACCATTTAAAGGCTCAGGAACCCTTTGCAGGTGGTTATGGCTTAATTAGCTGATTGGAGTGGGACAGTTTTGAGCCTAGAAAATTGAACCTTTTCACAATATTCTAATTTTCTGAGATTGTGGATTTGGGGTTTTCATGAGCTTTAAGCCATAATCATCTCAATTATGACACACCACGGCTTGAACTATCTTGCTTTGCATGTAATGGAGTCTATCTCATATATTAGGTTCACCTTTTAAGTTGCATTACTGAAATAAATGAACTTTTGCACAATATTCTAATTTTTCGAGTTTCGCCTGTAATTCCTCAGAAAGCAGGCCTTAACTCCATTACATTCTGCATCTTTGCTTGGGAGAGGGAGAGAAGTTGAGAACCTTCCCTCAGCCTGTGTGTGTTAATAAGAAACTGTTCCTTTCTCCTTCAGGAAGAGGTGGGAGTCCATTTCACAAAGGAAGAATGGGCTCTTCTGGATTCCAGCCAAAGAGCTCTGCATGGAGAGGTCATGATGGAGACATCAAGGAACTTGGCCTGTCTCAGTAAGAAGCTCTCTGGGTTTTTGTTCCGGATTGAAGAACATAAATCGATATCTAGAATAGAATAGAATAGAATAGAATAGAATAGAATAGAATAGAATAGAATAGAATAGAATAGAATAGAATAGAATAGAATAGAATAGAATAGAATAGAATAGAATAGAATAGAAATAGAAATAGAAATAGAAATAGAATAACAGAATTGGAAGGGAACTTGGAGGTCTTCTAGTCCAACCCCCTGCTTAGGCAGGAAACCATACACCACTTCATCAAATGGTTATCCAACATCTTCTTAAAAACTTCTTCCAGTGTTGGAGCATTCACAACTTCTGGAGGCAAGTTGCTCCACTGATTAATTGTTCTAACTGTCAGGAAATTTCTCCTTAGTTCTAAGTTGCTTCTCTGCTGGATTAGATTCCACCCATGGCTTCTTGTCCTGCCCTCGGGTGCTTTGGAGAATAGCTTGATTCCCTCTTCTTTGGGGCAGCCCCTGATATACTGGAACACTAGTCCTCCTTTTCATTAAACTAGACATACCCAATTCCTGCAACCATTCTTCAAATGTTTTAGCCTTCAGTCCCCTAATCATCTTTGTTGCTCTTCTCTGCACTCTTTCTAGAGTCTCAACATCTTTTTTACACCGTGGCGACCAAAACTGAATGCAGTATTCCAAGTGTGGTCTTACCAAGGCATTATAAAGTGGTATTAACACTTCACGAGATCTTGATTCTATTCCCTCTGTTTATGCAGTCTAGAATCGTGTTGGCTTTTTCAGCAGCTGCACCACACTGCTGGCTCATATTTAAATGATTGTCCACTAGGCTTGTGAGACGCCTCTCACAGTTACTACTATTGAGCTATGTATCACCTATAATATATATGTGCATTTGATTTTTCTTGCCTAAATGTAGAGCCTTACTTTTTTCACCCTTGAATTTCATTTTGTTAGATAGCGCCCAATGTTCAAGTCTGTCAAGATCCTTCTGTATCTTAAGCAGGGGTGGGATTCAGCAGCTTCTGACCAGTTCTGGAGAACCGGTAACGGAAATCTTGAGTAATTCGGAGAACCGGAAATACCACCTCTGACGGGAGATTTAGCAGTATCCTTCCCCTGATCTTAAGCCTATCTTCTGAAGTGTTGGCTATTCCTGCCAGCTTGGTGTTGACTGCAAATTTGATGAGTTCCCCATCTATCCCCTTGTCCAAGTCATTGATGAAGATGTTGAAGAGTACTGGGCCTAAAACAGAGTCTTTGGATGCATACTTCCCTCCATGTAGATGCAGTTCCATTGAGGACTACATGTTGAGTGCGGTTGGTCAGCCAGTTACGAATCCAATCTAGAAACAATCAGCCTCAGGTCCTTCCAAGAAAATCCAAATCCAGTCTGGAAGAACCAGAAGAAGAAAACTCTTTAACATGATGGCAGCCCTGGACCAAACCCACATCAACTTCAAGGAAGTTGAAGGAAGAACCTGTGGCTTTTCCCAATTCATTCTGGGAGGATGGATAGTTCTCTGGTCACCATTTCCTTAAATAATTTTGCTGATTGCTCTTGATATCACTTTCTTGTCATCAAAATGATACTGATAGAATCCAGAACATTTTATTGAGTAGTTTTCACTCAGACTTCCAGAAATGATGCATGTGTTTCTGTGTGATGGTTTCCAGCATAATTTAATCTAATCTTAATTTTATCATTTGTTTATTCTTTCATCCATTAATTTAACCTTAACTTTACCATTCATTTATTCTTTCATCCATTAATCTAACCTTAACTTTATCATTCATTTATTCTTTCATCCATTAACCTTAACTTTACCATTCATTTATTCTTTCATCCCTTAATCTTACATTTACTATTCATTATATCATCCACTAATCTAACCATAACTTTACCATTCATTTATTCTTTCATCCATTAATCTTACCATTAATTTATCATTCATTTATTTTTTTTCACCCATTAATCTAGCCATAACTTTATCGTTCGTTTATTGTCTCATTCCTTAATCTAAACTTCTTTGTCATTAATTTATTCTTTCATCCCTTAATCTAACCTTAATCATTCATTTATTCTTTCATCCATTAATCTAACCTTAACTTTACCATTCATTTATTCTTTCATCCCTTAACGTTACCTTTACCATTCATTTATTATATCATCCACTAATCTAACCTTAACTTTACCATTCATTTATCCTTTCATCCATTAATCTTACCATTAATTTATCATTCATTTATTTTTTTCACCCATTAATCTAGCCATAACTTTATCGTTCATTTATTGTCTCATTCCTTAATCTAAACTTCTTCGTCATTCATTTATTCTTTCATCCCTTAATCTAACCTTAAATTTATCATTCATTCTTTCATCCATTAATCTAACCTTAACTTTACCATTCATTTATTATTTCATCCCTTAATCTAATCTTAACTTTATCATTCATTTATTTTTTCATCCATTTCAGAATTGAGTAGTAAGGTTTCCCTTTTTTTGGTTTTTTTTTCTAATTCTTGTTTTTAGTAAATTGTTTAGTAAAGTGTTTAGTTGCTAAAGAGTCACCCCAACTTCTACCTGAAAAAATAATCTTACTTTCATCCAGGTATACAGAGATGAAAGGAAACTGTAGAAATGGTAGAATTCAAAATTGGTTCCTTAAACACAATAGTCTAATTTTTTTCTTCACTTTTTCTCTCATGCAGGAGCTGAACAAGGGATGAAGAGCTATAAGGAGCCACGTCGTGCACCGGAGCCAACCAGCAAAATTGAAATGGCTGAAGAGACATTTTGCAGTCAATCGAAACCAACAAGAGGTGATGGAAACCAACTAAAATCCGGAGAAGAGAAACCGTCTTCTCCTCATGCTGAAATGCAGAACTTCCAAATCCAGTCAGGTTCTAAAGGAGAAAGAACCGAAAAGTGTCGGTTTTGTGGGAAAAGTATAACGGATAAAACGGATTTGTGTAAACATTGTGGCACCCAGAATAAAATGGAACCATGTGGAGGTACAGGATCCAGAAGATATGACAATCGGCCCAACCCTGGGACTGTCACTTACTACATAGGAGAGAAACCGTATCATTGCACGGAGTGCGGAAGGAGCTTCCGTCAGAACTATCATCTCAGTTACCACAAACGAACCCACACAGGGGAGAAACCCTATATATGCAGCGAATGTGGGAAAGGATTCGCACTCAGCGGTGCCCTGACTACCCATAAAAGGACCCACACAGGAGAGAAACCTTATAAATGCCTGGAGTGTGGAAAGAGCTTCTGCAGGAACAGTTCCCTGGTTTCCCATAAAAAGATCCACATGGAGGAGAAACCGTGTTAATGTAAGAAGCATGTGAAGAACTTCCTCGTTCTACTAGACTTTATTTCTTGGAAAAGGATCCATGTGTGATGACCTGGGGCACAGCACACAGGCAACACAGGCAGCTGACAGTTCAACTTCCCCCCTTTTATTGCTCCAATTTTCCCTCAAAGGCTCCCACGTTTCTGGCAGGTCCCAGAGCAAAGTGATAACACCCACAAACACACACACTTCCAGCAGCCTCTGGCTGCAAATATTCCAGCACAACGCTGTGAGTGAAACAGCTGCAAAGCAAGAAATCCAGCAGGGCAAGGGAGTAAGTCAAGGAATCCGGGGGCCAAAGAACAAGTCAGTTAATCCAGGAAATGTCCAACTTCGGCAACAGCACACAATACTCACTCAATACTCACTCAATTCAATGTTTGTTCCCGACAAACTTCCCTCCCCACAGCATCTCCTTAAGGCTCAGTCCCCTGGTGTGCCTTGTGAAGACAGGCAGGACGTTGTCCTCCCAAGCCATTGGGTCAGCCTGCTCTGTTCCCGCCTTCTCTCCTCTCTCTGTGCTCGAGGATCAGGAGGGGATGGTCCTTGCTCATCCCCTGAGCTCTGTCTCTCATGTTCACTGCTTAGCCCAGAGGTCTGCAACCTTAAACACTCTAAAGAGCCATTTGGACCCGTTTCCCACAGAAAAGAAAACCCTGGGAGCCAATAAGTTAACAACCGGTGTGACTGGGTGGGTGTGGCCAACTCAACGTCACTCACTCCCACCCAGTCACCTCCTGCTCTGGAATATGAAGCGAGTCTCAATCCCCCGCCATCATCTTTATCTTCTCAGGCCAGGTGATGTGTGACGGGGAGGGGAGCGGGTGGGGACACCCAGTGGTGGGATCAGTCAACAGGGAGCCGCAGCAGAGGGCTGAAAGAGCCGCATGTGGCTCTAGAGCTGCAGGTTGCAGACCCCTGGCTTAGCCTCTCTTGTTCATCTTGCCTTGTTCTCCCTGCCTGCAAGCCATCCCAATCCTCCTCTAGTTCTGGTGTGCAGTGCTCTATAGAGTCGTTTTGAGGGAAGGAGTTGAAACAGTATATGTCCAGGATGAGAGGGGTCTGTAAATATTTTCCCAGCCCTCTTTTTGACTCGTGCACTATACAGGTCTTCAATTGAAGGCAGGTTGGTAATAATTGTCTTTTCTGCAGTCCTAATGACTCTCTGAAGTCTGTGTCTTGTTGGGTTGCAGAACCAAACTAGACAGTTATAGAGGTGCAGATGACAGACTCAATCATTCCTCTGTAGAACTGGATCAGCAGCTCCTTGGGCAGTTTGAGCTTTCTGAGTTGGCGCAGAAAGAACATTCTTCGTTGTGCTTTTTTGATGACGTTTTTTGATGCTAGGTGTCTATTTTAGGTCATGTGATATAGTAGAACCCAGAAATCTGAAGGTCTCTACTGTTGATACTGTGTTGTCTAGTATTGTAAGAGGTAGTATGGGGGGCGTTCTTCTAGAGTCTACCACCATTTCTACGGTTTTGAGTGTGTTCAGTTCCAGATTGTTCCAGTTGCACCATGAGGCAAGTTGTACAACCTTCCATCTGTATGTGGATTCGTCATTGTCTCGAATGAGACCCATCATATGCATGAAAAACTTGATTTTCTAGCTATAGTACAATAATAATAATATCCCTGGAGGCCTCTTGCATTTCCCACTCTGTCCCTAAACATACCCTTGCGACTTGCTCCCATATCTTTTTCTACTTATCCATCCTTTGAGGATGTGAAAATATTTACAGACCCCTCACATCCTGGACATAAACTGTTTCAACTCCTTCTCTCAAAACAACGCTATAGAGCACTGCACACCAGAACAACTAGACACAAGAACAGTTTTTCCCCCGAAAGCCATCACTCTGCTAAACAAATAATTCCCTCAACACTGTTCAACTATTTACAAAGTGTACACTACTATTACTGTTAATCTTCTCATCACTCCTTATCGCCTATCCCCTCCCACTTGTGACTGTATGACTGTAACCTTGTTGCTTGTATCCTTATAATTTATATTGATTGTTTCCTAGTATAATTTGATTGCTTATTGTACCTTATGACTATTAAGTGTTGTACCTTATGATTCTCGACTCTCAATGAATGTATCTTTTCTCTTATGTATACTGAGAGTATTTGCACCAAGACAAATTCCTTGTGTGTCCAACTACACTTGGCCAATAAAGAATTCTATTCTATTCTATTCTATTCTATTCTATTCTATTCTATTCTATTCTATTCTATTCTATTCTATTCTATTCT